TAGCAGGACTTTTCCAAGGCGGTCTGGAGGCAAGAGGACACAATGCTCCTTTTTACGAGGTTAGAGGGAAGAATCATAAGGGAGTAGTCTCTTCTTAGGGCGTGGTTGGTAAAGCCAACACACGTGAATTTCCTCAAATTCTAGACTAAAGTCTAAAAATTGGAGGTGTGCCCCATCTTGTAGTTCATGGGTAAACCTTAGCCCCCCAGAATGCTGAGTGAACACATCCAACACTGCTTTTACAGCCCTTTCTTCAGAGGCACCTTCAGACCTTCTTGTAACCACTAGATAATCGTCCGTATATCTAAACACTTCGTCAGCACACTCCTGTTCTAAGTTTTCATTGGTTGCCTGATCCCATTTGGCCAAGAAAATGTCACAAAGTACCGGCGCTCCAGAAGAGCCAATGCATATTTCTTCTTTTTGCACATAGTATACCGTCGTCATACATAATTAATGTCGACTGCAAACAAAATTTCAGTAGTTTCATCAATTTATCGGCTCCTACGCCATTCTCATTTTGAAACTGATTGACACTGTTCTCATGAAAACATTCACGCATCGACACAAAGAGCCCCTCGTGAGGAACAGAGTAGAAGAGGTCCTCGACATTTATAGAGAAGCCGCTGCATCTGTGTGTTCGCCTGCACTGAGATAATCCGCAACCGCATGCCAATTTCGCGCTAGAAACGGATCCCAAAGCTCTAGGGTACTAAGATGACACAGGAGAAACTGGCTAACCTGTTTCTGCCACGCACCCCTTTTTCTTACAAGTCCACCTTATGTATTTTTACGGGAAAGAAAACCTTTCGGTGGTCTTCCTACTTCTCTCTATGTCTTTTCCTAATCTGGTCAACTTGAGAGTATGCAGGTACAGCGGCTGACAGGTGCTGGCTTCCCAACTTCAGTTATTCTGGAAGCGGCGCAGAGGTTGTTAAAAAGATTAAGGGAAAGTTAAGTCAGACAGAACAGAGACCCACGACGAGACCCCAGGGGCTCCATTAAATGCACAAAGTCTCGCGCAATAGACCATTTGCGATATCCCCCAAGTGCCCCGGACCGCGCTAAAAGAATCATGGGAATGGTGTTCCTTCAGCCCCTAAGTGATCGGTAATTTCAACCCTATTCTTGGTTACATAGGTTTTGAGCGTAATTCGGAGTCACCCTGAACAAGTGCCTGATATACCCCAATGACCTGTCATATCGCTTTTAAAATTTCTCCTCAATGTCAGCGTTTTTGATACTGTGCATGCTGTACACCCTTCAACCTGGATGGGCTGCAGAAATCTCTTACATTATTATCATGCTGATATTAAGTTAGAGACGCTAAAAAGTCTATAAACAGCCCCTTGGACTCCGAGTTAAATCCTGTTTTTTGCTGTTGTAAATTATCAGCTTTTTAAGTAATTCCTGCTCAAACAACAATCACGAGAATGACAATATTGTAAGAGATCTCTGCAGCTCAGCCAGGTTGAAAGATGGATCGCATGCGCAGTATAAAAAATGCTGACGTTGACGAGCAAATTTAAAAGTGATATGACAGGTCCTTGGGGTATGTCAAGGTGCTTGTTCAGGGTGACCACGAATTACGCTCAAAAGCTGTGTAACCATGGAGTTGGTCGAAAATTAGCGGTCACAAGCGAGCTGAAGGAACACCGTTCCCATGATTCCTTGAGTGCGGGCCGGGGCGCTTGGGAATACTGCAAATGGTCTATTTGAAAATTTGAAAAAGGTAGCCGGGCCGTTTGACGTTCCCATTGTGTTTTCGGCACCTCAAAAATTGGCGCAACTCTGCCTTAGAATTGTGGAAAAGGCTGGGGGCAAGAGCCAATGTGCCGTAAACCACAGGAAGAAGTATGTTAATTGTGTGGTTGGTGTGGCATATAAGATCTGACTACGCTGCGGAAGAGTGTACATCGGTCAAACTGGCCGATGTTTTAATGACAGAGCCCGTAAACATAAGTGGTCACTCCGGTCGACCACTGAGGGTCACTTGCCTCTGCAATGTGCTGCTTGTAAATGCAAGCCCAAATTCAACATCACCATCATCGGGAGGGGCACAGATAAAACCACCAGAGAATTATTGGAAGGGTAAGCAATAACAAGAGAGGAGCAAGGTGCGTGTGTCAGCCAAACACCGGTTTTTCTACACAAAAAAGAAATCGCTTATCTTGACACGAGCTGAAGCGATAGTAATGTACAGTCGGCACGGAATGAAACGCGAGCAGTGGGTGCATGGTTTTCGCTAGATGTTGCACCACCTGAACCAGATGGGAGCTGCAAGAAGGTGACTCCTCCTTCGATGTGTTAGACGCTTGCTCAGTGCGTCCAAATCTTCGGTGTTGCGTCTCTAGGTGACTCAGCGTGGGTCGAAAACCATGCGCTCCTTGTTCGCGTTTCATTCCGTGCCGACTGTACTTCGTTGGTGTTTTTTTAATAAATGCTTAGCTCTGAGCACAGTATTATCTTACACCGTGGTTCTGAGTCCAGCACTTGGGTCGATCGCATCTTCACTTTGTCCTTGTCTGTATTTTTGCGCGCTGTATATTTCCGATTGCCATGAACCAACTCCCCTCCATCACGACCTTAATCCGCTAATGGAATTTTTTATTTGATTATTGGCGCACATTGGGCCTATTTGAACCCTGTTCGTCGACTGCAGAGTCGTACGTCGGGGTTCACCAGACGAACATCCACGGTTTGTCTCTCGTTGTTGATTGACCGTGAATCTTGGGCGACAGGATGCGAAAAACAAACTAGTACCGTTCTCTTTTTCCATTCGATCTGAGCAACCAAACATGAACCAATTGAAGGGTAGCACTGGTGGTATTATTACACGGCGTTCCTCGAAGGCCGTTCAACAAAAAAGTTATCACTCTGACGGTGCTTCGCTGGTTACCGATGATGCTGGATGATGCACATAAACAATTCAGCCGCGCAGTCTCGACAGGGTGCAGAAAAACACGATGAATATGATCACAACAGGACTTCAACTCACGCTGGCTACTTAGCTGCTACTTTCACCACGGCTTGGCTGCCCTTCGGTAATGAACGCAGCGTGCTGGAAGCGAGAGCACGCGCATGCGCAGACGGCTGCTGGAAAAAAGTCTTTTAGACACTTGCTGAGTGTCGCTTTAAAATTCACTGATCTAGGGGCTTACAATGGCGCTCAGCACGTTTCTAATCGGAACAATAAGCTTATATTTACCAATTAAACATTTAATGAGTAAATTCTAGGTAATCATTTTGCTAAGTAGGATGTTTTGTTGCGATCCTTCACGTCATCCGTGCTTTGGCAGAAACACCCGGTATATGTGGTTCTGATGATCAACGCAAGAAGAATACTCTTTTTTTTATTATTCTCTTAAATAGAAGATTTGTAGTTTATCATTAGGTATAGTTTTAAAACTAAGTAGAAAGCAAAATGTTTTGTTACTGGGGATGTGCAGTGACCTGAATTTGTTGTGGGAAAGCTACTGCTCGTAATCAGTTTTTGAGGCTCAAACCTTTTGTTATTTAGTAGTCGGCTTATCTATGAAACATTGCACCGCCACTTCAGATATTTATAATATAATTATCGCAGTAAAAAAATATCCGTATACCACTCTAAAAAAGTATGTGCGTCTACTTTCACGCACAACACTCGGAGAGTCAATCACCGCAACTTACGGAAGCAGCTCAGCGAATGACAATGCCGAAACATATGTTTAGACGAAAAAACGCAGTCTGAGTTGTGACATTAAGCAATGCAAAACGTCACGCTTGCATTGCTTAATGTCACAACTCAGACTGCGCTTTTTCGTCTAAACATATGTTTCGGCGTCGTCATTCGCTGAGCTGTCTCCGTAAGTACGGGTGATTGGCTCTCCGAGTGTTGTGCGGGAAAGCAGACTCACGGGCTTTTTTTTAGAGTGTTGCAGCTGCAGATTTTAAAAATAGTTTTATATTTTAGTTTTCAATCTTTTTGCCTCGATAATAAATTTTTTACGCCCCCCAAATGGATTGCAACATGCCTAAAAATAGGCTTATAAATATTTTTTGTACGCCTCGGAAAAGTAAATGAACGTTGATACATAAAAAAATGCTCGCAAGCACTGGTGACCCTTTAAAACCTCTTTGCAAACAATTCCCAATGATGAAATGACGATGTCTTTATCTAATAATATATTTACCCCAGAACAATAAATATATCGGGAGAACAAGACGGGCAGGTCCGGGAACAGATAGGTTCAGCAACTGCTCTCGAAATAAATCTAAGTACAAACGCGAAAGCCCGAGCGGATACGAAATAGTTGTAATGAAATAATTGAGGACAATAGTGATGATGATCATTGTGAAGATGGAAGTAAGTGTTCTTCACTGGTGAGCGTCCTCACAACGTATACTTTTTACTTATTGGGGTAAGGTACCCGTGGTGTAAATGCGTGTTTTATGGGAAGTGTATTATGAACTGAATCTGAGTGCATGAATGGCGCATGTTCAAGTATTGCCTGGTCAAATTACAGCTAAGAGCCTAAGATCGGGGCCGACGTTTATCCTGCTCATACTCCCCGACGTATTATTCCAGTAGTAGCTCACGAAGCGTTCAGAAAAAGTATGAGAGATGAATGATCGAACTTGGAACTAGAAGCGTCGGTCACTGATTTGTTTTTCCTTCACAAGAGGGTAAGTCTTTTGAGGGAGGCTTAATAACCCTGTCAGAGGGGCAGGTTAAGGGCCTTCATAACGAACTGCTTTAAAAAATGGGCAAACCAGTGCATGCCGATATGCGAGAGATCGCAAGGTGATTCGTCAATTCTTTAAAGGAGCTCGTTCTGAATACTCTTAATGCGTCCTACTGACAGGCTCTTTAGAAGAAAAAAAGACACCTTTTTATCTGGGGAAGCTACTTGCCACACGTTTCTCATGTAAGCGCTAAACGCCTGATGGTATGTTAGGTTATTCAGCTCTCACTATGTGAAGTATATTACGGTTAGGTTATTAGAGGATTCAGCTCTCACCAAGTGAAGTTCATTAAAGAGGTGTTCTGGTTGCACGCTCTTGTAGCTGTATTTCTTCAGGAATTGCTGCGAGTGGAAACGCCACGTGCAAATGTGACACCGAGCTTCTGTTGCCAACGAAACTAAGCCTACATAGTCCGCTATATGCAAAATCTTCAATACTTTTTTTATAATGCTTTGAATTTGTTGAAAAACAGTCGAAGAAGGTACAATATTTTATATTTAAATGTATTTTATCTTCAAAAGCGCTTGAACTTCTTGCATCGGTCGACCTTTAGATATTTTTGACTATTTTCACATATATAAAATGCGTGTATGAGGTTGTGGGAAAAATATTAATTATCTTCACGAGACTAAAACTATTCTGCGAATTGCCACTAGTTTGTTCACATTGGAGAATTCGCTAATATATTGCGTAATAATGCTTGCCTCGGAGGTATACAGTGTAGAATATTATATGTCTTGTAGCGGCTATTCTCTTCGAACGACCTTCGCCCTGTAAAGTTGCTGAAGTTTAGCTGATGATTGTAAATTGGGAGTGACTAAAAGTACCCTTCCCCCAAAAAAGAAAACTTGCATACTGGCTAAAATCTCAAAATAAACTAGTGTTAATCTTGTTAATCTAATTAATAGTGATAATCTAATTAAAACTAATAATAAAAAGAAATATTTAGATAACAAGCGAACACATTTCTTCTGTTAGGCTCCTCTTAATCGGAAGCATACCAATGTCCGGGGCAGTTTAGAAAATAGCGTGCTTTTAAGTTGAATGTGGACCTAAGTTGACGTCAATCACAGTGGTTATGTAGCAAAGCTCATTTTGTCTTTTAATGCCTAAATTTAAAAAAAAAAACAAAAAAACGATAGTAAAGAAATTTTTGCCGGAATACATCATTGCGTTGCTACGTTAAACACACACAAAAAAGCAGAGAGGCGGCAATAGAAGGAATCCGAAAAAGCGGGTTACCCTGAGTCCAACTCTGAAGGCATCCTTTGGCAGAAGGTGTGACAACATCCGAATCATCGAGACGCTCTGCAAGAGACGGTTAAAGCAATGCTGCATTTTCCAGTCATAAATCTCGGTCGTAAGATGTACATGCATACTCCTCATGTTAAGTTGTGTACTCATATCTAGTTCAAATATTTGAGTTTCGAAAGAACAAAAATAAATTGAAATAGACGACATTAAAGAACCTCTGACACGCCCCAAAAAACAAATTATTATGCTAGGCGTTGAATTGGCATATTTGGACATTACAAAAAAAATTGTTTCACTATGGAGTTGCGTAGTTTTTTTTTATAAAAAAAATAGAAATACGAAGCCCAATTCAAAGTTTCCGCCAGTGCACTGTGACGTAACAGCGTACCGCAAGGTGTCGGGGCGGTCAGAAGGGAGGCATCGCCGGAAGTCACGGGAGTTGTATCCCTCCTCGTGCTTACCGCGAGCACGTGTAATACTTTTTAAAAATATTTTTGTTATTCTCCGCACCTCCACGAGCGATCCAAGCCTACAAGGTTTCTTTTATTTGCTTTTAATCGTTTAATGTTGCTGTAAATGTAGAAGAAGAAGAGTCAGTGAATTGACGTGGTCAACTACAATGCCTAGAAGGTGCTGTGTGAGTGACTGTCTTTGTATTTCAGCAACTGAAGAAGAGATCACACTGCATGCATTTTCGAGAAACATACAAGAGATGGACCGGTGGCTGACTGCGGTTCCCGCAGGACAGCTATTAGAATCCGTGGGTAGGCGATGGATATGCTCGATGCACTTTAGTGATGAAGATTACAACCCTAGGCGAAGTTTACTAAAACTGCCCAGCCTACCCCACACTCAGCGTACGAACCGGCGGTACGCCGTGTACCGGTATTTCCTAAAATTGCAACAAATTGAAAAATAGCAACGTAATTCCTGCGCGGTGATTTTCTTTCAACTCCAGCCTGAACTTGTAGACTGTAGGCAACAAAACTAGACTAACTTATGAATATCCCTGGGCATTAGAAACTTCCTGTTGTGAAGTTCGAACTATGCAATCTTGAGCATTGTTATATTCAAGCAAACGACTGGGAATTCTTCGTGTGATGTTATGCAACCTATCGGCTGCAGGTCTGCAAGTTTCCTGCCCATCTCCCTGCAGCAGCGGCACTCAAGAGTCTTGAATTCAGGCATCACGACGCATCGGCTGCATGTGCACCCAGTAAACAAGTTCTACTCATGCTCTAGATAAAACACGTACTTTATGCTCGACGTTTACTTGTACTTGGTACACTCACCAGTTGGTCTTTTTTAGACGGCAGGCATCTTCAGCCTGGAGAGTATCCGATGATTCAACGACCTCGGTGTCTGAACCTTTAGCAATGCGATCGGGCGTGTCGTATGCTAGCAATCCTAATTTCTGCGAGCGTTTTAATTTTTTCTCAAAAACTTGATAGCTTGTTTTGTGCCCAGTATAACTCTGTGTCATCGGACTGACGGCATGCACTCGTACACTGGCTTGTACTCGCAACGCTTTGTTCATTGACCTCCATCACGTCGATCCACTGACTCTTCGTCCTCAACATTTACAGCACGGAAACTAACCAACGGTACAGTGATAAAGAGCAAGTGGAACTGAAACTTCGTTTTCTACAATCGCTCGTACGAAGAGCAGAATAAAAAAAAATAAAAAAAAAGTCTTAGGCACGGTCGCGGAGAGCACGAGGAGTGAAGCTCACGTGACTTCCGGCAAACCCACTTTTAGTAACGTACGTCGATGCCTCCCATCTGACCTCCCCGACACCTTGCGGTACACTGTTACGTCACAGTGCACTGGCGGGAACATTGAATTGGGCCTCGTATTTCTATTTTTTTATAAAAGAACTACGCAACTCTATAGTGAAATAATTTTTTTGTGATGTCCTGATATGCCAATTCAACACCTAGCATGGGAAATTTTTTTTTTCTTTTTGGCGTGTCAGAGGTTTATTAAGAGCACACAATTAAATGCGACTAGATTTATTCTCTTGATAGAAGCATTTCACTTTTTGTGGCAAGTTAGGCGAGTAATATTGTTTCATAAATTTCATTCTAAATATGCTTAACTGATAACGTTTCCGTAATGCAGTTATAGTGGCGCGCACGGCCATCATGCGCCAGGCTGTGTCACACGCGTGTCCGTGCTTGCGGCAGTAATGGGACAAGGGAACCTAAAAAATGTTGTTATCCCCTTTTGATATATACTTTTAAATTTAGCACGTGGTGTTCATACAGTTGAAATGAAAGAATAGGACTAAAGAAAAAGAAAGATGCAGAAATTCTGAAATTAAATTGTCTCTAGAGGATTGGCCTAAAATATAAACACACGTTACAATATGTTGGACGGAATTCTTACTCCTCGTGTTAACTGTAATATATATATATATATATATATATATATATATATATATGTATATATATATATATATGTATATATATATATATATATATATATATATATATATATATATATATATATATATATATATATATATGGGTGATTTCATCTCAACTCGGGCACGGATTTAGGGTCGAATTTTTAATTTTGACGAAAAAAATATATGTTTTGGAGCAATTCCTATAATAAAAGAAGACGCAAACGGTTATTTCGTCGGATTTTTTTGTTCTCAAGTTATGGACCGTTAAAGCGGTCAAGGTGGAAATTGATGTTTTTCCAGCCTATCGGAGGTGCCATATTTCACTCCATCCCTTTTCCCTACTTTTTATGCTGCATCAATATAACTTTTTGGGAACACTCTAGACATAGGCTTTTTCATGCTAATTAAGCGTCTAGGTCATAACATTCTTAATGATTTTTTTTTGTCAAACCGCCTCTCTGTGACGATATTTGACGAATTTCAGCAAGCTGTGCTGTGTGACCTAATCAACATATTTTTATGATATTTATATCACCGCAAAGCAACAATTATGCTCTTTCTTTTGAGTATAATTTCAATATTTTGCCACAAGTATATAATGCGCTACATGTGCCTGAAAAACGAATATTTCGAAAAACTAGCAAGTTTGGAGTTGATTTTCTAAAAAAACCCACTTTTTATTTTTTTTTTCATTTTTTATTTACAGTTAGTTCATATAGTAGTCTATCTGGAACTACCAACAGAAATTGTAATATATTGTTTGTATGGCCGCTATTAAGACTCGAATCTCGTGCTATGAGCGTTTTGAACGGGACTTCGCACAGGCGCTCTGCTGAGCAGAATTTTGGCCTATATAAGGTTTTCTATTTATCGTTAGCAGTTACCTAATATTCAACCATAAACATTAAAAAAAAATTTCAGTAGTGCTCTTAAAAAAAAGTTACTTAGAATTCCGTATTCACAAGTGCGAGCGCATCTTTTTCTCCCAATACGGGGGAATGCAGATCGTTAGAGAAGTCCTCTGAGGCCTTTTGCTTTCGGCTCCGAAATTTTGCAGATGCCACCCCAGTCAGGCGGCGTGTATTGAATACTTTATCTTGAACATCACGGGGCTACCACCTCTATCTTCGTCGGGGTCCTGGAGCCTCTAAGGATTATGCCTTTGGATGCGACCGACACGGAAACCCTGATTGTCGGGAAAACAGGCGTTTTAAGGTTAGAGTTTACGTCGCAAGCCCCCCTCTGTCTCTCCAAGCTCCCCTCCTCGTCCTTCTAAGACAACCGTGCCACTAATCCGCGGGCACTAAAAGAGACGCCGCTGCTGCGTGGCACTCAGAATTCGCGCGAGGCGGAGAGCGAATGTTTAAGTATGGATCGACGGGAAGATTGGGGATGAAAATAATTCCTGGAGAAGGGGAACAAGAGGGACAAGGGACAAACATAAATCTCCAAACACAGCTAGGTGACTGGTGAGCGACCAAAAAAATCGAATTTTTTCGGTCGCTCACCAGTCACCTAGCTGTGTTTAAAGATTTATGTTTGTCCCTTGTCCCTCTTGTTCCCCTTCTCCAAGGATTATTTTCATCATTATTGTCCAGCTCGCTTGCCCCTTTGCATTTAATTGCATTATAATCAAGATTGGGGACCCAAAGGAAGCCGAATCTTCGCACGTCGTCTAACTGACAATAGCCTTCTCGGTCCCTTTCTGGCTCTTTACTTGAATTCCTAAGCCACGGCGGAAAGCTGGTACTCATTCTACCTCCGTGCTGTCTGAGCTGGATGAACTTAAAACTGCTCCTGCTTTCAGAAAGCCAGAAGTGTTCGTTACTGCCATGGCTAATACATTATTCAGTTCAGACCGGAAAGTGTGCGCCAACTATTCAAGGAGACACAAGAGAATAGTGTTTTACGGACGCCATTTTCGTCAAGTCTCGGAGCTAAACCTAAGTTTTCTTAAGCAAGTTCTACCGGCTGAGGACGCCCAGCGCGTAAGCCCTGGAGATGTTCTGTGCAATAACTGTTACACAATGTTCTTGGGCCAGATCGAAGAACATAAGCAAGGACAGGAAATGTTGTCATCAAGCTCATCGTTCTCATCCTTGAAACCAGTGGACAGATCATTCGTTGACGAGGAAGCCCTGGTCCAAGGAGTGTCTGAAGCAACTGATGCTGCCGAAGTAAGTGTGACACCACTTAAATTCCCTTCTAGCGTGACCCCACGAAGTCGTACCGGCTATGTTAAGCGAAAAAAATCTGAGATAACCGCGGACTTCAAAAAGAAAATTGGTCGTAAACTAAGTGACGTGCACGGAGAACCTACGGGCACTGACAAAGAAGATCCATACTCCTCGTGCTCCGACTGGGTCCGCAATTTACGAGCAGCCTACGTCGAGAGCGCGTCGCAGCTAGAACGCTACCGCCTCTTAACTCTCTTTCCATCTAACCTCAAAAAGAAAGATATCCTGAACGCAATTCCTGAAGTGACGAAGCATGCTTTGGACCAATCAAGAAAGCTGAAAAAAAATAGGGGTCTGGGCGTCACCTGACCCATACCAAGGACATGCTCTCAACGAAAACGATGTCGCTCTTGCGTTGACTTACTACACATCAGATGCGAAAGTCTGCTCAAGACAAAGCCCGAAC